CCCCTGAAATTAGCCGCCGACCAAAAAAGCATGACGCCCCAGCAGCTCCAGCAGCTCCAGCAGCTCAAGCAGGCGCGGGCCAAGATGGGCGCCGCGGCGTTTGCCCAGACGCTGCCGGAGATCTTGCGCAAGTTCGCCAAGTACCCGCCGTCGCTCACGTTCCACATCTACGAGACGCACTACCGCTTCAACAACACCCAGGACTCCAGCATCATCCCCAAGGAAAGCCCCATGGCACGCAGCTTCTTGCAGCACCTCATCCGCGAGGAGATCCCCGTGGAGATGACCGAGCTCTTGAAGGACTTTGCCGTGCGGTTCTACGACGGGTGCTTGGTGGTGCAGGTGTACGACCACCGGGACATGGTCTCCGTTCCGGGCGCCGCGGGCCTGCCTGCCCTGGCCCCGGCCACGCCGAAGGACTCGGCGGCGCAGCCGCCTGCCCGCCCGGCCGCGCGGCCCAAAACCTACCGCACGTTGCTCCGGCCCACGCCGCAGTCGCTCTACTACGACTTGCTCTACCACACCGACTCCACGCTCACCAAGTTCACGGACTTGCTAGCCTTGCAGATGGAGGCCGAGATCCTCACCCTCACCAACCGCAAGCTCGACTTGACCGTCCCGCTCAACCCGTATCTCCAGGACGAGCTCTTGAGACCGGAGATCGACGCCCCGCAGGCGGTCTGGGACGACACCACGGGCGACTACAAAGTCATCCACTCCCATCGAAAGCCCACCGAGGTCGAGGTGCGCAAATTGCACCAGGAGCAGATGACGATGCAGAAATCTTCCGAGTTCGAGGAGATGATGTTCTTGCTTTCCAGCAAGTACAAGCATCCTTCTGAGAGCACGGCCGAAAAGAAGCTTGTGGTGGTCGGGCCCACCGCCGCTTCGCAGTCGTCCGATTCCACCAGCCTAGAAAACACCCCTTCTGGTGGCGCTACTGTCGGGCTGACTGCAGGCTCAGAAAAGGCCTCTCGTGCGGGAAATGCCGCTATCTCTTCTGCATCGGTCTTGGGGAACAGCAGCGCCACTTCAAACCAGTTCATGCGCTTGCGCTTCATCGAGGAGATCCGCAAGAGGAAGGAGTCCCAGAAAGCCCAGGCTGGCGCAGCAGTGGCTGCCCACACACAAACCAGTATCTCTAGCAACCCCGCTTCTAATGTCCCAGGGGGGGCTGTGAACGGAAGTGCCAATGGAGCTTTCTCCAGACAACCCCAAGTCAATACGGGCAAAGCACCACTCGCAAATACGCGCATGCCACATGGCCAAGGCTCGTTTCCCACCGCAAATACACTCCAACAGTCCACGCAAGCACCTCTTCAGGCTCAGCAGTCCTCTTTGCAGCAAAATCAGCAGTTCCAAAAGCAACATGCGATCAACCAGCGTCAGTCTGCGCTTTATGCGCAACAAGCTGGCACGACTCCCCAGCAGCAGTTTGCTTCGGTGCCACCGGTTTCCCAGCCCCAAAGGCAATTTCCCCAAGAGCTGCCCCAGGGAGCAAACTCTGGTATTATTCAAGAATATGGAACATCTCCAATGTCGCATAATTCTAGAGATCCCCAAGGTGTTGCTAGACAAAACATCATTGTGCAGAATAACCAAAAGCTTGGTCAACCTGCTGCTCAACAGCAACAGCAGCAACAACAACAACAACAGCAACAGCTAGCTAAGCAGGCTGATCGCATACGTGCACAGCAATTTCAGGTCCAACAAGCACGTCAACAGCAGCAACCGCTTCGCCAGCCACAACAACAGTCTCCTCAACCATCGCCGCAAAATTTTACCCAGTTAAAACTGCTGCAGCAAGCGGCTCAATTTGCTCAGGCGCAAGCTGCAAAACGCCAAAAACTTGCTGCGGGCATGAACCAGATACCCCAACAGAATCAATATCCGCAGCCTGTACGTACCCCACAAATGGGGAACATGCAGCCAGGCTCCAATGTAAATACGCCCATCATGGGAAGTGCTACAATGATCAACAATGGAATCGCATCCTCATCTCCTCAGATGGCCAATCCAATGCCCCAAATGTCTCAGCTGGCTCAAAGCCAGAGTTCTTTCAAGCCAAGTCTTCAAAATACCGTGAACAACCGCCCAGTGAGCCAACCTGCAATGGGCCAAACCAACCAATCTGTTCCAAAGACCACTGCACAGCAACATCAGCAAAGACAACAGCAACAACAAATATTCCAAATGACCCTAACTCCTCAAGAACAGCATACTTTCAGGCAATTACAAACAAGAATGAACACGCTTGCTCAAATGAGCAACACTGGGGTCGCTCCAAACGGCACTCGTCTTACTTCTCAACAGCAACAGCAAGCTTTGCAACAAGCGAAACACATTCAGCAACAACTACTACAGCGCTTTCCCACGTATTTCCAAAGGCTTCGTCAATATCAAGCTTTGCAAGATGAAAGGCTTCTGGCCATGCAGCGACAACATGCTCAAGGTCGACCTCAACAACAGCTGCTGCAACCCCAGTCTCAACCCCAACCTCGCATGCAACACAACATGGGTATGGCTGATGGCACGATGTATGCCCAGCAAAACGCGGGCATGAATTCGACTCTGCCGACTATGCAGCAGCAGATGATGAGCCTGCCGATGATGTCACAGATGGAGAATGTAATGCATCCTGGTCAAGGGAAGCAGTGATTGCAAACATTGGCTCTAAGATAAATTTAGATTGGGAATCACGAACAATTCAAATCCTCTGATCACGTGATTCGAAGCTATAATTAATATATAGATAACGGCGTAAATGATAATTGCTGAAAACAACTATGTACTTCAAATTACACTAACAAAGCTTCATTGACTTAGAGATAACTATGGACTACAAAAACACGAGCTTACAATGCCTGGTATTGATAATAAGACACATACTTCGCGAGTCTTCCTATGACAACACACCATACTTTTCAAGATAGCCACCATAGGCGACAACCACTGCAAGTGTGCCGGCGACATAAAACAACCCCTTAGTTATTTCTCTGAGAACGGAATTTGTTTTGGCTTTCTTTGGGGCCAGTCCTGTTGCTGCAACTATGCTATCGTGCCGAGTTTCGTGAGAAGCATCAACTTCTTCGAAAGTACGTTTCCTGCTGACTCTATCACAGACAAAATTTTCGGAAGTGATAGGGGCGGGCATTTCAATTCCATCTGATCCTTTCAATTCATAAATTTCGGAACTGTCACTTGATATTATCAGTATACGATGCAAACGAGCCTCTGTAGTTGCGTGATAATCAGAGAAGTATTTTCCCATTTCGGTACTCGGCTTCTCAACGTAAAGACAGCTTTGCATGGACTCATGATTTTCCAAAGATTCAGCGTCAGAAGAAGCGGAACCTTCTGAAGAGTATTCAAGCGTATCAAACGCAGCATCCACATCGTCATCCATATCATATTTGTGACATAATTCCTCAAACAGTGACATGATGTCCTCGCTCAAGTCCAGCTCAAACCCATCACTTTTGGGAGCCTCTACACCAACATCCTCAGTCTCATTCGGAATATATTTGGCTGATGCAATGGAGCTAGAGAACATCCCATTCGTGTTTGTATCAAAATGAACCAGTTTGTCCTCATCACGAATAGTCTGAGTTTCTAGCTTGTTGTTGCCTGGGACTTTGTCTTCGGCGTTGTAATCGTAATCAGTTTCTGTATGGAGGGTGGTGAACAACTGAGAAGGGCAGTCTGGCTCTTTCGAAATGTGCTCGGCTGAGTTTGAACTGGATGTGAGCACAGACAGGTCTTCAGAGGACTCCAGGTCGCTGCTTTCATCCAATTGTGCATAATCCTGCGAACTATCATCCTCATCATCTTCAACAAGCTCATTGAGGAGTGAGCCCTTCAGAACGTCATGCAAGGCTTGCCATGCAACAGATTCTTTACCATCACTAGAATGACACACATTACTGGTACTCTCGGGTTCATGTTTGACTCCGGAGTCGGAATCAGGCTCTGACAAATCAATTTTAGATTGACTCGACTCACTTACAGCAAACGACGAATCATTTGTGGCTCCCCAACAATCATTCGATGAAACTGTACCAGCTTGGGTATCTCCAGCATTCATTACAATGGAGCCATCTTGCAGTCCGTAAGTAAACTTGCGTACGTACGACTCCTCTACAGGCGGACCGTCAGAGTCATCAGAAACCGTTGAGTCGTCTGCGGAACTCGCCTCCTCTGAGAAAGCTGTATTTTGCTCCTGTTCCGTAGAAAGCTCACGTGATGCCGCCGCTTTCTTTGCTTGAGCTTCCTTGCGTAGGGCCGCGAGACAGTCCAATCCATTTAAGGGCAATAACACCAAAGAGCCTTCCTCGGAGTCAAGAGAGACCACAGAGAATAGTAATTGGACCAGTGGATTGAGCAAAATGTCGGTAGCAACCATCTTTGCATCGTTCGCCTTTTTAAATAAATCCTTGATCGAGTTTGACGGCCGGTTCAAGACAAAGCCAATGCGGTCCCCCTCGCGGATTGCGACTTTTTTGTACGGCACAAGGATATAATTGTTCCACATGGTGCCGAAAGTGGAAGATAAGTCTTCCAAATAGAGAACACCGTCGGACATCGACAACTTGGCGTGTGTCTTTGAGAGATGTGAGTTTTCGAAAAGCATGTTTGATTTTTTTGCAGCCCGCTCCGCGTGTTTTGCGGATGCTCGACCAATTGGGATTTCGCCGTCGGCAACACAAATTGTTTTCCACGACAGCGGGTCTCCAGTGGCAATAGAAGTTTCGTTATTCATTCTGATTTTCTATTATTGGACACCTGATCTCAAATAGGGGTCACAAAGCAGGTGATCAGAATTGGCGGGGAATGCTAGTCTCAGCGGCTAGACGGGGGTTATTTGAGAAGATTCTGGGAATCAGTAGACACTAACAAATGGAGGTCACACAGCGCAGGTAGACAAGGCGATTGATCTAAGCGGCTGTGAAAGATAAAGCGAGAACTAAGAGGGAGGTTCCGATAGAAAAATCAAAAAGAATATGGGGGGAAGAAAAAGTGAGCAAGGGAGCAAAAGAAGTGAAGTGTGGCAAGGGGTGTAACCCCAGATAACGGTCAGGGCTCGCTCGCGCCTGCATACATTGATAAGCCTGGTGCGCGGCTTAAGCGTATGGACCCAGCCTGGGCTCCGGGCAGGCTTGAAAAAGGAGTAGGTGTTCTGGGCTGAATCTGACAAAGTCTCGAGCGAAATAAAATTTTGGTATCACAATTCCTTGCTAAAGTTTGGCTTGTTGCTCATATATGGCTCTCCAAGACTAAAATTGTGGAAATGCTGAGTGTTGGTTGGTTTATCCTTATACACAAGCGCACGCAGCATATTAAATCGATTGCGGAGGATAATAGATCTACTGTGGAGGATAGTAGGTAGAGAAACACACATCGCAGTACTAATAATCCACAAATCCTGTCGTCTTGATTGACGTGAGAGATCACATTGACACAGGCAATCGCAATATTGTCCAAACTATTATCCACATTGAAACACCTCTGGTCATTTTTTCGCAGCACACAATGGGATACTTCGGCTAAGACTTCGTGACATGCACATTGGGATATTTCTTCATATTCCTTCATACTTGGAGAAACACAAACTGTGGCAGGAGTTCTTCTTGAACGTCACTTCCGCACACCAAACAAACAGCTCGAGCTTAAGAGATTGGAAACAGTAGAGAATGGCGGGCTGTTGTCATTTCTTCTTCTCCCTCTCCCATACTTTCTGTAACCTGCTTTGATGAGCGCGCTTCTGGTTTATTGTCTTGGTTTTTCATAACTTTAAACAATGCAAGCCTGATGACATCGGTGAGGAGTTGCCCAAATATCTATGCAATGACCCCATGAATATCGAAATTGCAAAGGTCCTTTCGGCCCTGGCTACTCATGTTACAATCATTTTTAAATTTTTCGAAAGCTTCTAAATAATCAAGTAGTCCATGACAGTAAAACATCCTATGGGCCTCACCGGATCTGGCCATGCCGTGTCTGGTGCGCTTTTTCGCATCCATTTCTGGGCCACAAAGATTCTTTCTGACGGCTCTTCTTCGCCATACTTTGCTTCGGAATTTCGCTTGGGAGACTGAAAAGCAATTAAAACAATCCTGCTGATGAGAAACTTATTGGCTCGTGCCCGGGGAAGACTCGGCCAGCTTTCTAGGGCTGTAGTCCAGATCCCTAGCCACCGTTCGGTAGATACTTTCCGCAACGGAATAAACGGAACTACCGCAAATATTGCGCAGTTGCTCAACCCCAGTCCTCTTGCAAATGTCATGGGGGAGACAGCCGAGGCTGTTGATGGATTTGTAGGGCGCAACTTGAAAAAAAACCGGATTGTTGCGGCTACTGTGACCAGTGCGGCGGAGTGGAAGTCTAGACAGGTGCAACAGGGGCTTGACAAGGCCAAATCCTTGATGAAACGCAAGCAAATGCTTGACAAGGGGTTTCTTGATTTTCGGGATCGGTGTCTTGCACGGCTCATGGAGATCAAGACTGCTTCCATCCCCGAGCCTATCGAGCGGATATTTTGCTAGAAAAATCACGGGGCGAAGGCTGCGGTTTTAGGCAGATGGCCAAGGCATCAAGCCTAGCTTGCGGCCGCTAGTGCAAGCTGACGCAATCGTATCTAGAGTGTATATCCTATCGTGGCCAGAGAATAAAGTCGGCGGGTTTTGTATGATTCACGGCAGGAAAAGGACGTAGTTTCCGACACAGTATTTTCCAGTATGCCAGTGCAAGGTATTTGCAAGCAGACGTCGCTTTTTGACCTTCCCTTTGATGTCAGATCCTTGCAATGTCACCCCTTTGGTACACTTTTTCGTGTCGCTTCTTGCTCTTTGACATCTTTAAAATACACTTCGCTGTCACTTCTTGGGAAAGCTCTTTGACATCATGTCTTTGAAGTACTCGTTGATGTTACCTCTCGACAAACCTCTTTAGATGACACGTCCTTGAAATGCTTGATGAGGAATGCCACCGATTTCATACTGAGCTTGCAACAAAAGCACATACACTCGTGCTACTTTTCACGCTCCCAAGAAAAAACCTTTAAATTCTTCTTGTTAGCTGCTCGCCATGATATCATGTCTTGCATTTTCACCCTTCATACAACCGCAGGAAATTGGCACCACCCAGAGGCGGCACCTGGAGCCAGTTCGAGCTGTCATATTCACAGACCCCGTCTATCAAATGAAAGGCATACGCAAAGCGCGACTTGCCCAGCACATTCCGCTCCGACTTATGGAGAACTGAGTTGTGGATGAGGATCAAGGAGCCCGCCTTGCACTCAAAAAGCTTATATTTCTCAGGACTGTCCTGCGGACATGGCACGTGGGTCTTCAATTCGAGCATTTTACAACCTTTCGAGGCCCCATCCACACGCACAAATCGCTTTTGAATAGGAAAGCTTTTGTGGGAGCCTGGATGGTAGGACAAGCAGCCGTTTGCGGCAGTGCAATCTTCCAAAGCAAACCAGAAGCCGAGAGCCGACTGGGGATTGGTATATAAGAAGGTGCCGTCAGTGTGGGGCGGAACATCGTTTTTGCGGGCTTCGTCCACGCCCTTTCCAATGGCATTTTTGAATATAAGCATGCTCTGGAGCACCCGGGGGTCTGTGTACTGGAGGTCACGTGCTATGTCCTTGACTCGTTCCTTGAATGTGATTTCTCGAAACAAGTCGTGATGCATGTGGAGCCCATGGCCGATTTTGTTGACCGCCTGCTCTTTCGGGTACTGTAGCAGGCCGTTCTCGTCAAATGCGTCCACATCGAAAAAGTACGACACTTTATCAGAAGATTCAAAAAAGTACTTGTCACCTATATGGTTGTTGTCACCCGTTTTGAACTGAGTTCTAGGGTGGGTGTTCATATCAAGATCAGTCAAAAGGTCGTGGGCCGAGGCCATCATCTGTTTAACTTCTGCATGGGAGAGAAAATCGGATATGCAGAGCATGCCCTGCTCGTTGAATTGTTTTATCTGCTCTTGCGTGAGTCCGGTCATGGCTGAGATAGACAATTTTCTTTTTGGATGGAACTTGCCTTGATTGCCGTCTTCGTTATCGGTTATTGTGCTCGTATTGAGATAGAAGACCCAATCAATACTGATGATTGGGACACGTACTCAATAGCTCGGCTCTGGGTAAGATGCAGTGCTGAAGATGCAGGCATGTCCAATTTCACCCAAGCCAAAGATGGATCAAACGACCCTGGCCCCTGATGGATTTTGGAGGTACAAATGACAGGATAGTTGTGCAGACATCGTGTAGAAAAGTCTCCATGGAATGCTTTATACGCGATCTCCAAGATTACTAGTGCGAAACCCATGACAAGATAGCCTCCGCTTAGTCGCGTAGTATTTGATACACTGTAGTTGTTCCTTTGGTGGTCTCCTGATTCGACAATTAGGTTTAACATTTCCCCTTCCCTTAGCCCAGATTATGAGCCGAAAAATCTCTATATATCTTTTTGGGGGAGGATAATTTACTGAAGTATGCAGGGATTCTATTCAGAGCTACATACTTTGAACTCGTCAAGTAAATATCAACGATAGACCCAACCACGTTAAAAGATTGATTCAACCAAGTAGACCTGTTTGCTACCACGAATCTGACATTTAATCAAAATCTTCAAGATCCTTTTAGAACATACATACCCTTTACAAAATGTACGCCACAACAAAGATCCCAAAGGCAAAAGGGTCGCAGCATCACAATTCCGCTTGAAGTCTCCCTTTACACAACTCAGTATGGCCATATACAGCTTGAATATAGTTGATGAGACGGGAAATAGTGTTTCTTATATATTAAAGCCGCAATCTTGCCCCCGAAATACATGCCAGTCACATGGTCAGGGTTCACTTATATCTTGTATGTGGATTCGGTTCCATTCTGTATGTGGGGTACATCGCACTATCTGGTAAATACACAGTGCATCTTAGTTCAAACAGGAAGGGTCCTGAAGTTTCCTTAAGCGAGCTTGACAAGGAATGTTGTGTCAAAAAGGGTCATGAGGATCGCGCTCCCTCGAGTTTAGGGATTAAGACATTGTATCCAGAATATCAAAGATAGACGAAGCCTCCTCACCAAGGCTGAATTTTCTAATAACCGATCGGCTTGCAGTGAAGAGACATACACTTGCCTGCTTCATAATTTGTTCCAGTCATGATAAGTCTTCAGACATTAGGATTTAGTGAGATCAAAGTGTGTATGGCAGCAGCCCTATATAAACAGCAAAACGTGATGCAAATCATGGCATATGGAAGCGCATACAAATAGATTCAAGAAGTAGAATGGAACTGCAAATGCCCATATTTTACACCTCTGTGTATTACAAGACAAAGAAATCCCTTCATCACTTCTGCTTTGAATTTGGCGCTAGACCTGCTTCCAAATTGTCTGAATAATTGAGAATGCCAGTGGAGTAGTCGAAGCATAGTTCTGGTGGAGTGGAGTAAAATATGAAATTTTACGCCTTCAGTCTTGCACTAGAGGATACTATGACTCATCAGTTTCAATCTCTATAAACCTCATTCCTGTGTATCAAGAGCAACTATTGTCTCCTGACTGCGGAATAGTTAGCCCTGGCGCAATTAAAGAACGATGAGCATCTTTCGTTAGGATCAAATGCACATTTATCTCAAATTAGTCACCAAAGACGTGGCAAGACGCATAAAGCAAGTTCCTTAAGTCCTGTTCAGTCTTCTGGGTTCAAGCGCCTACCACACAATTTAAAAATAGATCACGTAATATTATGCATGCTAAGAGGACTAACCCCTGGCCTTGGTTAATGAGAAGCAGACGGGCCACGTTTTGACACTATGTAGGCATTTGGAGCTTTGAGCTGTTTAAAGGTTGTATGTGGAAGCTTGCATCTTTTTCCTTTAATTAAATAATCATACCTTGATTAGAAAGAAGAATTTTTGTTGCAAAGAAAGGTTTCCATTGTGCCATGCGTGAGAAGTGATTTTT